ACCTGCAATGTCACATACAGTGCATGTTTACACCATGTCCAGCTGGCTATGCATTGTGTTTCTGGCACACCAGAGTCCCTTAATTTGAATTTATTGTCCTGTACCGTTTTGTGTTCTCTTCCAGATGGCAGATATATTTGAATATATTCAATGATATTTAACATTATCTTCAAAAGGTCTCTGTCACCCACACTGATGCATGGGGAGGACGTAGAGCCCCCTGCACACCAGCTATCAGACCGTGAAGACGTGCCCTGTGACGTCTGCCACGGGAACAAGGCGCCCTCGATGAAGTCGTGTCTGGTGTGTCAGGCGTCTTACTGTGAGATTCACCTCGTGCCTCACCAGAGAGATCCAGCGCTGCAGAGACACCGCCTCACAGATCCAGCAATCTTCAACACCAGCCACCTGTGCAGAAAGCACAACAAGCCCCTGACGATGTTCTGCAAGCAGGATCACACACCTGTGTGCTCGAAATGCACAGAGGGCGACCACAAGCACCACAAGATTGTCCCTATGGAGAAGGAGAGCAGGAGGGTGAAGGTGAGGGAAAAGCTTCTTCCTTTGCCCTGTGTTTTTTGGGAGGGGGGGCGGTTTCCTGAGCTCACAGATTTTTGTGCATTCTTCTTCTCACTGTCTCATTTTTACATTGTTTGATCTTCTCCAGATGAATCTGAGGGTGACAAAGTCCGACATCCAACAGATGATCCAGGACAGGCTGAAAAAAATGGAAGACATCAAAAGTCCAGTGGATCTAAGCAAAGTAGGTCGTTGATTGGTTCAAAAAGTCAGGCTTGCAACCAAGCAGTTCATTTATCACATTATTTATTTATCTAGTTGATCATTTTAATCAATAGAGGGCCACAGAAAGAGAGATCCAGAGCAGTTCTCAGATCAGCAGCATGCTGATAACCGCCATCGAGAGGCAGCAGGCCGAGCTCGCCAAGGATCTTGAGGAGAGGCAGATGGAAGCCGAGAGGAAAGCTGAGGAGCTGCGCGAAGAGCTGGAGAAGGAAATTCAAGAACTTCAGACGAGGAGTAGCGAGCTGCAGCACCTGGAGCTCACGCAGAGCTCGCTCCACCTCCTACAGGTCAGATTTATCTGCTGCATTTTACCGTCTCTCTGCTGCATCCGCATCTTAAAGCTGGTGCTCACAAAAAGCTCCCTTCTGCTTTTAGAGTTTCCCGTCTCTGAGCAGGCTCCCGGCCACCAGAGATTGGTCAGAGGTGGCATTGCACTCCGATAACTCCCTGGGGATGGTCAGGAGAGCCCTTTCTATGCTGGGGGACATGTGCCAGGAAGTTGCAAACAAACTCTCAGCAGAGGGTGAGTAACCCTACAGCAACATGAACAACAAATCATCGTAAAAAGAAATATATTATCTAATTCTTTAACTTTTTGACATGCAGAAGTGGACAAGATGAGTGCATATGCAGGTATGATCACAAATATATAGTTAGACATTTTTTCCTATAAATTGATTTGAGCTTCATCAGTACCTGACCTGCTGTTTTCTTCTTGTATCTGCAGTCAATGTGACCCTGGATCCCGAGACAGCTTCAGGCTGGCTGGTTCTGTCCACAGATAAAAAGAAGGTATCACCCTATAATCACTGACTCTATCAAGCACACTTAGATGGACATGCTGATTTTGTCAGTTTTTTATGCTCAATTGGAGAAAGAGATTCAGAATGAAGCAAAAACTTGCTTTGGCAGCGATGATGAGCCCATTGTTGATCCTCAGGTGAGCCTCGCCAGCCAGAAGAAGAAGACTCTGCTCCCAGACAGTCCCCAGCGGTTTGACTCCTGCGTCTGCATTTTGGGGAAACAAAGCTTCACATCTGGAAGACGCTACTGGGTAGTTCAGGTGGGATCAGGATCTGAAAGTCATGTCCTTAAGAAATAGAAAAAAA